ACTCCTCCATGTTCTTTTGTGAAGACCCAGAAAGAAATATATCCAGATCAGCGTCCAATGGAACTAGAAAGGCTCTCTGACGTTTGGTGGGCATCTAGGGAGAAAGCCTTGAACTTCCTGAAATTCCTAAACACATTAATAAAACAAAATCCACCTGATGCAGTCGTAAGTGGAGAAACAAAGATACTGCTGCATTCAATAAACTTAGATTTTCTGCTTTGCTTGGAAATGACAACATCTGTATTCCTTGAAACCTTCAAAAGGAAGACTTAGATTTGGGAGCTGCAGATGACATAGTGAGTGGCATTGTCACTAGACTAAGAGACCTAAGGACAGAGGAGGAGTTCAAGAGCACCTATGAAAAAGCCACTAGCAATGCTGAGGCAGCAGGTATTGATGTTCCTGATGTCATTCCATGGTATGAACAAAAATACCTGCAAAGCTGATGCAATGCTCAACATCAGCAACTGAAGATCAAGAGCCACACACACACTCTCAAAGAATTTTACAGGGCTAGACTTTTCTACACATTTTTGGATGTTTGTTTGCAAGAGCTCCAGAACCCAAATATGCAGATAAAGACCAGCAAGATCATGATGTCACTCCATACACTGACAGATGCATCTAAATGGATAGGTGTGTTGGATGATGAGGCCAAGGAAGCTGCTCATATTCTCTGAAGCTTTTATTGAGTTGAGTAAGCTGCACAGCAAAAGTCAGAGTTTCATTCTGCCGACAAATCCCCAGTGGAAAGTGTCATGGTAATGTTGGAGATTCTCAAAGACAACAGCATTCATCTTTTGTTCCTAACCTTATATCAGCTAGTGAAAATAAATGCTACATTACCAGTTTCCATAGTCACAGTAAAGTCACATTGTTGAAGCTTACACTGGTCAAGTCCAGATTGAGGAGTCTCTGTGGACAGGAAAGACTGTCTGATTTACTGCTACTTGGCACATCCCTCATGAAAGTCATTAACATCTTTGAACAAATGGTTCCCAACATAAGGTTGAAAGAGACCAAAAAGTAAGTTAACAGTTCAGCAAGTAGTGTTACAGTGAAAAACATTTTTTGATAGTCTGTCATAATGTTGTCAAAATATTCGGTACCAAGTCGGTACTAAAACATTTTAAACGTCACGGTACCAAGTAACGGTGGTACCGAGTAACCGGTCAAACCCGGTTCTGGATGCGCCCGGTTCATGAAAGCGCTGAGACATGGCGACCGG